CCTTCCCACAGGCCCGACAGCCACCGTGAGGTTCCCGCCGAGTGTCAGATTACCACCCTTCGCAAAAGCTTCTACAGCTCTGCCGTAATTCAGAATTATTACTAAATCCGATACCTAAAATGCAGAAACCCACTTATTTAAAAACAGTTAAGACTAAATAAAGCTTAAATTATATGCTGACTAAAACTTAAATATACTATATGCAATATAGCTGAATTTCAATACAGAGAAAGAACAAGAAAGAAGAGCCATATTTTTATTTGGAGTGATGAGGTGGGAAGCTAATATTGCCACAAGTAATTATAGCAAACCCTCAATGACTATTTGCTATGCACCAAATGTATACCGTGATGTTTACCTGTATCCTCGTCCTTAGTCATCCCAGCACCTGGCAATGATGGTGGTGATTCTGACGCTTCAGGGTTGGTAAGGTTGGGCAACTGGCAGAGCTGATAACTAGGTGTGTGGGGAAGAGCAAACGTGTTCTCTGATCTCCTCATGCCAAACATGCCGTAAGAGCCAGACCCCAAGAACACAGAACTGGGGACTACCGGGGCAAAGGTCCCAAGAGACTGCTGCGCTCATGTCCTGGCTGGGCACTGTTCCTGTTGCCTGGAAGCCTCGCATGGGCACTTCATTGCAGGTCACAGAAGTTAACTATCTCAGAAGGCAAATTGGTTTCCATTACTTAGTACCCACTATCATGACTTAATTTTTTCTCTAAGTAAAGCAAAAACTAGGATGAGATTCGACTATATGTTTGAGGCATGTCTACATGAAGAAAACATTTGTTTCTCAATTTACTGCTATTGTAGTGGACCCCAAGGCCAGAATGGGAAACCAGCAGACCTCAATGAATGGAAAGCTGCCCTTGGGGTGCAGGCCCGTGGCCCACTTACACTCTTCCTTTAGGAGCTGTGTGGCTTGGGTCACTTCAACTGGACTCTGGATCTCCCATTGTCCCACACTGAACACCTGCGCACTAGGACCTCCTTTGTGCAGTGACTGTGAGGCTCGGCTACAAGTGTCACATGCACCTCTAACACTCAGGGCACAATGGTATGGGCTCAGGTGTACTCCACAGCTGCCTCCTGCATGCTGGGTGACCTGGGGCAAATCACAAAGCTACCCAAAGCCTCAGTTTCTATCTCTGTGAAATGGGAATATGAACAGTTACTGCATTTGTGAGACTGCAATCATTTGCAAAGCCTGGCACATTCACCATATTGTGACAAAACATGCAGAGGTCAAACTTACATTTAATAGGTATCTTAACTTATATAGTTATTTGTATATTTCTGCATGTCTTTAAATCAACGTTTTCATCTGAACTACAGAAAAGTCCTATTATTATTTACCAAAGCACATTCCACATGAAAAGACCTAACAAATATGTAGATGGTCAACAAATGTTTAATTTGAATAATTTTATGCAAAAAACCCACTCAAAATACATACGAGAAACTAAATTTACCAGACAACCTGACCATACAAATGCTTTCTTTACCCCGATTCCTGCCAATAATTATTTTTATTTTATGGGCAATTTCTAAGGATTAGAGTGCTGAACAAAATAGAATTCTTTATCATTTCTTATGCAAAATTAAACATTGCCAATGATTGTATAACCTGTATCTTATAAGAATGCATTTTTAGGTAACAAAATTGTCTTGCATAGCTCCTGACACATATTCACCCAGAAAAGGTAAATTTCCACCTGTGACCTTGTAGCTACTCTAGTTGTTATGTTCTTCTTCCACTTAGTGCATCTCAGTACCACAAGCAAGGCAAAGCCTAAGAGTCAACTCTAAAGGAAAAAAGTCAGTCTTTGATTTTTCTATCTGATCTCCACAAGGTAGAGGGAGCCAGGTCAGAATTCTGCAGAAAGCCTGAGGCACCTGGGAGTTCCAGCAGCTCCTGGTTCACTGCTATGGCTGGGCTCAGAGTGAGCAGAAAAACAGACTTTCTCTGAGAAAACGAGCCCAGCATGCAACACAGGAGAATAGTATAACAGCTATTTGAGAACTTGATAAAAGTTTAAGAGGTCTAGATTGAAAGTTAACCATGTTACAGTTTGCAGAGCAAAGTAAGACCAGGTGTCTGACATGGTCAAATTCCAGACTTGGGTGAAACAAGATTGACAGGCTTTGGGCACACACCACATACCTGGACAGATCCAAAGATAAGACATGTTGCAAAGTTTTCAGAGCCACGGGCTGTGCTAAAACTGTCCCTCAAATAAAATATTAACAATATTTAAAGATGGTCTTAACACTACCTTTCCTTAGACCACAGATTTAAAATATCTACTTGTCACAATCTCCACTGTCTTTACCCACATTGCTCCTTAGAACGTCCCCTAGCTGGTCTCTATCCCAGATGCAGGAATCCATGCACTAATTTGGATGATTTTTCAGTACCTGTGAAGTTCCAAGAACTAGGAAGCAATGACTTCCCACCATGTAGAAAAAATGGGAGTCTAAAGGTTAAGATTAATATAAATTACCCCCACACTGGCCTTCCACCTAAGCCTGGGGAATCCCGTACACTAACGCCCCTGGACTAACTAACGACTCTGAAGGTGTGAGAGGCCGGAGAACCACTGCTGGGTGCAATAAGCTGCAAGGAGCAGCCTCAGCCCATAGCTGCTAAGAAGCATTCTTTACACAACTAGTCTCATTAATTAAGAAAACTGACCTTAACACCACATTAAGAACACAAGATTAAGATGACAGCCTTTTTCCACCAGGATTCTGTAAGTCAATGGTTCTCAACCTTCCTAATGCCGTGGCCCTTTAATACAGTTCCTGTATTAAGTGAATTAAGTCCTAATGCTCAAAGGCCTCCACTGCAAGTAATGAGTGAGTATCCCCCAGCTATTCTAGACTAGCAGGTGGGGGCATCCCACATAGTCCCCTCCACTCCCTCCCTCACATTCAAATCATTTTCTGTGTTCTGTAGATCACATGAAGGGCCTAGAGCAAATTCGGGGTCTTCACAGGATTGGATGTATCTGAGTGGAAAGTTTGGGGGAATGTTTGGAGGAAGAAAAACACTGGCTTAGGCACAGAATGATACATTACAGACTTTGGCTCATAACAGGCAAGCTTTGATACCAGCCTCAAGTATCAGAAGGGGAAAGGGTTACTTAAAAATCATCTTGTTCAAGGTCTTTTTAAAATTTTATTTTATAGGCTTACTTCAGGAAGATTAAGTACTTTGCTCAATGTTCTATGACCAATAAAAGAGTTGAAGCTTAATTGAAGTTGAATCCCCATCCTACTATATCATGTGTCTGTAATTCAGAATACCATCTAAAGATTAAAAGGGCTCTTGAGTATTTAAAAATCATTTACAGAACACTTGGTTGACAAGTGAATTTGGAATGGTGTCATGAAGGGTAGCAGACTCTGTCCCCAGCAAAATAATCATACTGGTGAAAATTATTTAAAAAATTAACATCTCTAGAAATTGTCCTAAGAGCATATAGCAAATGAAGAAACATTTATTTAGTGAATGTAGTTAAATCCTGGCAAGAGCAGTGAGAACTGGTGATGTGAGCACAGCCTATGCCCCCCCCCAGGGGAAAATGGAGGCAGGGGCACCAGCTCCCTTCTCCACCTAAGCCTGGGTTACAGAACCTCCTAGGAGGAGCTCAGCATGTTTCTTCTTACAGGTCCATGCTGCAAAGCTCTACCCCAGGCCAGAGCAGGGGAGAGGCCTGCCACACCTTCCTGTACCCAGCATCCTGGAAGCAAGGTGGATGCTGGACCCCAGGGACACAGTCCAGGAATACCAGGAATCCACTCACTTTCTCCCAGCTCACCTGTGGGGCAGCAGCTCTCCAGGAGAGGCATATTGCGAAGACCAGAGGCTGCTATCCCCATCCAGTGTTAGGGCTGCAGTCCAGCCTCTAGCTCCACAGAGCAGCAATGTTAGGCAGACCAAGAACCAGGTTGCAAGCAGAGAGAGCTCCAAAGCTCTCCTCAAGGGAAAGGCCATTTTTTGGAACAAAGAGTGAGGAAGTTCACGGTACTATCAAAAACAATAACACTGGTGAAAAAATAGGTGAGATGAGGCTGGTTGCTCCACAAGAGTAACAAGCTAAATCACAGGTGGTCAAGGAAGTTGACAGGGAGAACAGGAGCCAGCTGAGAAGAGACCCCTGCAGCAGGAACAAGCCTCAAAGGGAGCCTTGCAAAGGACCTACGTCATGTTCTCAAGGCATGTGAGAAATGGTGTGTGACAAAAGACAAACAGCTGGATGGAGACCAGGAGAGAAATAGTGGGCACCGTCCTCTCAGGTGACCTGTGTCCAGGGCTGCACCCTTAGGGGAGTCCCCCCAGAGGGTGGGACAGAAGTCAGACAGGCCACACAAATGCCAAACAAACAAACCAACCAGCAGCAACAAGCCCCAGAATTGAAACAATATATTATCTAAAATATCCAACATTCAACAAAGAATAATAAGTCAAGCAAAGACGCAAAGTATGAATCATACACAGGGGAAAAAGCACACGAGATAACTGCCTTCATATGGTCCAGATATTAGTTTAGCAGACAAAGATTTAGAAATAACAATCATAAATATGTTCAAAGAATTAAAGAATGTTATGCATAAGAAGTAAAAAAAAAAAAAAAGACAATGAGACTGTCTCATCAAATAAAGAATAATGATGAAGAGATAAAATTTATACAAAAGAACCAAATGGAAATTCTGGAGTTATCCAACATGAAAAATTCACTGAAGAGTTCAACAGGAGAGCTGAGTAGGAAAAGTAAAGAATCAGTAGATATGAAGACAGATGAATAGAGATTAAGCAATCTTAAAAACTAAGAGAAAAAGAATGAAGAAAGAATGAACAGAAACAAAGAGAAACCCGAGACACAATTAAGTGCACCAATGATATAAGTGGTAGAAGGTAAGGAAAAAAGAAGACAATATTTTTTTCAAAGAAACAGCAGCTGAAAAAAAAAAAAAGAAAAAAAAAAAAGAAACAGCAGCTGACATTACAGTAAAGAGGTTTAACAAATTCTGAGTAATATAAGTATAGAGACACATCTTAGGTACATAACTGTAAAAATGTTAAAACACAGAGAAAATCTTAAAAGG